TTTCTGAATCAAGGCTTTTTCTTGAGCTCAGTATTTTCGCTACATTTTCCTTGCTATGCAATCATCTCCCAGTTGGACAATTAATAAGTGCTTTTTCTCCACAGCCCTTGGCATGTAACCTCGCTTACCCTGTATTTTACCATGCACTATATACCTTCTTCACTCTGACTGGTTTTGGCAGCGACCCACAATCTAAATCTCTTTCCTCCATTTGATATAAGTGAAACTATAATTATCTAGGGGTAATTTCAAATTACTACTTCATTCCACTAGCAACTGATGAAGATTAGTGGTCTTGCCTTGCATCTGAGTAAGTCAGCAACATAATCACAAGAGAACTCAGCAGGCAACATTTGATTCATGTGAACTCAATTACTTCTGTCAAACACATTCACTTCAATAAAAAGCAAAAACTTCCAAAATGGGTTTTTGCTAATAATTTTGCACTCAAAAAAAAAATTTCATGTGACTCTTAAGGGAAAAAAATACCATGGATTTCATCAGAAATACTAATAAATAACAAGTAGGAAAACATACTTGTATAAATGGATTTAATACATTATTAGTTTCTGAAAATAAAAATATTTCAAAGAAATAAATTTGTATACTTAAAACAGTTTATTATTGAAAATCTGGGCATATAAGTAAGCCATAGAAAAATAAATGCATTCTATAATTTAAGTTAATACAATAGAAACCAGAGTATTCTGTTACCTCATTAAAACCAGGTTATTATGGGGAAGGTAGTCAATTTCTCTTAAAGGAAGTAAAATAAGGGGATATGAAGATGATAGATCATGAATTGCTAAATGGACAAGAATTCCTGAATCACTTCTTGATTGTCTTCTGGGTTGAAGCCGTATGTTAATGAGCTGCCTAGCATTCTGAATCCTGAATGTTTAGTCTCTAAAAGGCCTTGGGTCAACTCCATGATGCATGTATATCAGGTCACATGAGCATGATCTGACAGCAACTACCTGGTGAAATCCTGGTAGAGACTTAGTAAATATTAACATATGATAATCATTACAACAGTTTTACTCAAACTTCAGCTTCTTTATATAGTCATAACCTTAATTAAATCCCAACATATATTGATTATCAAAGAAACAGTAATTAAATGTAAATGTATAATAAGTGTATATTATAAATACATTTCAGGATGTGATGTTCTGAGGTCTAAATCACTAAGACGGTCTCCATTAACAGTTAATACATCATACACCAAGCATATATGGTTTAACACAAAGAACTTGAAAATTCGGCCTGAGAATCGTAGGACTAAGAAATGACTGGTTTAAGAGACACATTTGTCAATTTTGTGACCAAAGAGACTTTCTACAGATGATTTTAAAGGTAGAAAAGAAATCAATACGGTAGCTTTCCTTTATCCACGCTTTTGTTTTTGGCGGTTTCAGTTACCTGCAGTCAGCTGCAGAACAGAGACAGATGACCCTCCTGCCATATTGTCAGAAGGTCAATAGTAGCCAAATGATAGGGCGCAGTGCCTAAGTCATTCCCCTCACCTCATCTCATCATGTAGACATGCTATCATCTCATATCATTACAAGAAGGGTGAGCACAATACAAGGTATTTTGAGGGAGAGTGAGGACCTCATTCACATAACTTCTATTACAGTCTAGAATGGTTACATTTTGTTATTTGTTGTTGTTAATTTCTTGCTGTGCCTCATTTATACATTAGACTGTCTCACAGGAAAAAGCACAGTATATACAGGGTTTGGTACTATGGGCAATTTCAGGCATCCCTGGGGGTCTTGTAATGCAACCCTCTCAGATAAGGAAGGACTACGGCAATTTTAAACCACAATATTCTTTTATACTTTTGCCCATTCAACTCTCTCTTTTGATTCATTTCCCTATTTCTTGCCTTTTCATTTCTTGCTCATTCCTTAAGATAACATTCACCACCCCTGTCATCAAGGAGCGTGTGACCCAGTGGGCATGAAAAGAGTCATTAATTAAATAATAAATCAACAAAAAGATGCAAAATCTTAACTCTAAATGGCTCTACGAAGGGAAGATATATAGGTAAAGAATAGAGAGGCCTGATCTTGAAGACTCGGGGATAGCTTCGCTGAGGAAGGGGTGCTGGATGATAGATGTGAAGGATCAGTGTGAGTTAATCAGGCATGAAGTAGGTAGAAGAATGTTTCAGGGCAAGGGAAGAGAATCACAGGACAAGTAGTAAAAGTGAGCTTTTGAGAAAGTGAAAGAAAGTCAGTGTGACTAGTGCACAGAGAAGAAGAGGAAGCATAGTTTAAGATGTGTCTGGAGTGAAATCATGCAGAATCTTAAGCTACTGTAAAAAACTTTATCTTAAAGGAAACGATTGAAGTATTTAAAGTTTGTGGTGGGGGTGAGTGGACAGAGAAGGATAGGTGTGTGAAACAACAAGATTTGCATTTTTGTAAAGGCGATACATTCACATGACTCAAAAATCAAAATATTATTATATAAAGTCATTCATTATATTGGAAAGTAAAGTTCCAACAAGACATGCCTATAGATTGGAGGAAAAGAAATAGAGAAAAGTGGATGAGTTTAAGAGACAGCCTGGTTGTAATTCCTACAAATATTTTGTGATGGGTAGGAACCAGAAAGTGAGTAGGAAGGAAATGTTAAGAATGATTCCTAGATTTCTGACCTACCAAGAATAGTTCGAAAACATCAAGATCCACACTTAATGGTTTGGGGATAGCATGTTAAGACCACAGAATGATTTAAAGTTATGGTGGAATTTTATATGACACGCACAGACACATTTACATTTGCATATTCATATCATGTGTAGATATAAATGTCTCAGGAATATCTGTGATACCTTAATTGTCCAAAATAAACCTTCAACATTAATTTATTCATTCAATGACGTAAGTTATTTATAGAATAAATATTTGAAATTCCTCATAGAGTGGCCACATACCATCTGTATTTTGGGGGGAAAAAAGGCACCATTCATATGGTCTACATTGTGTAGAACACCCTCTGGGGCTGTGTAGTTCACAGCCTTCATGACCCCACAACTTTTATTCCTACTACCAGGATTGGGTAATAAATGAATTTAGACAGTCGAGCTTAGTAAAGTTTTCTACAATTCAGGCTATCTAGTTCACCCCACTGTCTCTCAATTAAGTTTCTACTCCTCAATTATTAAAAGTATGAGAAGAGAAAGATATGCACTGAGTGCCTGGACTAAGAAACATTCTGTCAGAACACTACTTCCCCAAGATACTTTCATGATAAGCATGCATAGAACCTTTTAATCCCCGCAACAAACAAAAATTATCCTCTAAATGCAGAGGTCTTTTATACCCTCTGTCCATTTGGATGAAGACAAAGGTCATTGTGTTCTGACCTAAAGTGACCACATACTGTTCTCTTAAGTGACATAAATAATCAAGTAGAGCATTTGATTTATAATTCTAGTCAACAAAATTTTAGAAATAGTAAGATTTATATTGTAAATATTTTAGACAAAATAATGAAATGTATTCAACAGATTATATTTAATCTGCTTCTGATTCTACAATTATACATATCTTCACCTTACACTAAAAGGACTATTCAAGAAGAAAAGTTAAAATAATGGTAGTTAGGATTTTCCTTTAAATCCAATCCCAAATAAAAAATAATTCATTTCCCTGAAAAGTTTAAAATTATTTGCAAAACATAATTTTGATTTAATAGAACTGCATATATATGTGTATACATATACAAAGGTATAGAGAGTTGTAGACCACATTAAAAAAAAACCCTAAACTTAATTGTAGATGATATTGTAGGAATACAAAATAAGAGCTGATGCTAAAAAAGAATTTTAAAGATGGTGCAATGTGTTTCTAGAGATAAATAATTAAACAAAGTTACCATTATTTACCTATCATTTCCCTACTTTTGATTCCCTGGATCTATAATCAATTTACAGTCAGTCCTGAACAAACTTGAGCAAGTTTAATTCACATAATATAATGGATTTAGAAAAAAAAAAATGCACCTGATGCTACCAGGTGGTATTAGGGGACTTTTCAGTACTTAGTTTTCTCTTCAGTTAACAGTAACTCTCATTACCTATTTCGCATGTGCACAGCATGGTGAAAACAAGTTCAGGTTCATAAGGATGAATGATTTTTTTTTTTTTTTTAAGTAAAGATGCTTTCTTCCTCATAAGCTGTTCTTCACTCTGACATAAAGTATCAACCTATTCCAAAAAGCCATGGTTAAATATCTAAAACAGTTTAACTCACCATACTGTGGGCAAAATGAGGGTATTTTCAAATGAAGAGGGAAATACACATGATCAAGTTTCATCTTAAAAGAAAAATTAAAACAGTAAAAAATCCCCAGGTTGTAAATTGCTTTGAAATAACTTTTTTTGTATTGGCTCTATCTCCAAAGTTATTTTCTTGGGTACTACTTAATATGCATTCAATACTGACTGGTAAATTTTTAAAAGCAAACATGTAACAGCACTTATATGTAAACAACACAGTGAACTAAGTACTGTCAGCTGACAAGTATTTTCATACAGAGTTCATATGGTTGAACTTATTTTAAAGGCAGTTAAAAGCATGCCAAAAAAGTCTCATCTAACATTTGCATTTGAATTTTATATAGCAAGGTAAGGGTACTATTTTCTCTTCATGGAGAGAAAATAGCAGTAGAGTAGCAGAAAATAGAAAAAAAACCCTTTGGTTTGAGTTGCTCAAAAATAAAATTTCTGAAAGCAAAATGAATATGAAATACTACACTGCAAGTAAGACACTCTGAGTATTTTATGTATATCCAGTAAAATATTACATTAAATCTTTGATCGTTGCCAGAAATTTTAAAATTCTGAGAGAAATCAAACTTGAAGAGAAATAATCTCCATAAATTAGCAAAGTAAAAGGTCATCTGCTCATAATCATCGGAGGAAATACATATACATGATCCAACCGAAGTGGACAGCTCCTGCAGATCTGCAGGCAAATTCTTACCTTGACAGGTGCCATTTTTCTCTTCATATCCTGCCTTGCACATGCATTTCCCGATGGGCACCAGCCACTCCCCTTCAGCACTGCAGTGCATTTTGGGTGGTTCATCTGTCACAGAATGGTTGACACAGGAGCCCGACACTTCAAGCAATTGCGAAGAATCAGCTCCAGTGATTGTGTCGGGGAACACAGCCAAGTGTCTTACCACAGAAGGGCATTTTTTATAGTACACACGCACAGAAACCAAAGCAATGCAAGCACCCACATCTTGAAAAGCAAGATAAAATCCCTTTTTGCTTAGAGGTCCTACATCTCTGACCTCTGTATTCAGTTTCATAACCCGGTCACCAAGATCAAGCTCCGTAAAGCTTTCATCGGCAGCAATGGTATCAATTTTGATGTATTGGTTTTCCTTGATGTTTCTCCCATTCTCATCATCTGATTCAAAGTAATACATGTTAAAGGTTTCCTTACAGGTTCCCAGTCCTCCAGGAAGACTGTTGCAGTCCCGCAGAGTAAACTTGAGTTCTATAAAGATTCTGGAAGCACCTTCGTTGGAAATCCAACTGGTCAAAAGCCAGTTATTCTGATTCTGTTCCATAACTTTGCATACTTGGTATGTGTGGATAGGGGCATAATTTTCATCAACTTCACCAATCTCTTCCCACTGTATAAATAGAAAGATTTTTTTTAATATTTAGAAAATAACTAGCAAAAATTATCAAAGAAAACTATTTCAGACATAGAAATTTCTGCAGTCTTAATCTATGTTATTGGGAAAAGGAGCAGTACAATGAGAACTAAAAAAAAAAAAAAACCTTTTTAAATTAAGTAAAGTAATAGAACATCATTCATTGTCTCCACTAATTCAAAAGTTAACGCAAATGAATTTGATGGGGGAAAAAAGCATGTATTTAAGAGATAAGGTAGAAGTAAATTGAATATGGGTGCATTTAACAAGAAGGAACAGTGAAAGGAAATTATGTATATTTGGAAAAAAGTTAAGTATGTAAACTAACAGAGTAGATAAAGTGTTATAGAAAAAAGCAAGTACATTTTCTTTTTAAAAGACAACAGTGGAAAAAAAGCAGTAAATGTGAAAAAGAAGGGAGAAAAATGTAACACGTGAATCCACACTTATTTAATTCTGGCATGTTATAAATAACACATCAATGTAATAATACTTGCCAGAAAATTCATTAGTTTAAAATTAATAGTAGGTGCTTATTTCATTGACTCAATCTGCTTGAGATTCTTCTGCAAATTTGATACCTAAATGTTTATTCATAGGTTTATCTATGAAACATACACCTAGAGACAGATATAAAATAGAGATAAAAATTATATATGAATAGCTTTGCCAATTTGAATCCTGAGTTTTTGGTATATCCTGGGAATGCATTAATTATTTTCTACCAACCCATTATTTCATGCATAATGACCTTAAGAGTTCTGAATATATATATATATATATATATATATATATATAGGATATAGGATACAGAAAGAAATTAAGTATGATTTATATAGCTTCCAAAATATTAGGTCAAATAGATCTAAACTTATCTCTTTCCCAATAAAATATTCCAGTTTTAAGACTTTTGATGTCCCATAATCACTTTCTTTTTTTTTATTTTTATTTTTTAAAGATTTTATTTATTTATTTGAGAGAGAGAATGAGATAGAGAGCATGAGAGGGGGGAGGGTCAGAGAGAGAGAGGCAGACCCCCTGCTGAACAGGGAGCCTGACATGGGACTCGATCCCGGGACTCCAGGATCATGACCTGAGCCGAAGGCAGTCGCTTAACCAACTGAGCCACCCAGGCACCCCCATAATCACTTTCTTAACAGTATAGAACCAAATTTTTATTCTCCATAAAGACATTATTATTATAATTTAAGAAGTTTTTTAAAGAATCTGTGTGTACAAAACTATATATATTTTTTGTTTTAAATCTTTAAAAATGACCCTGAAACACAAAGAGCAATGAAATCATACTGACTTCCAATAAATCCAGAATGTGATTTCAGACATTAAATATTATAGATAATAAACTTCATAGAACTTCATCTCTTTAGACATGAAATTAAATAGAGCATTATTTCTTGATTCTGTTCAACTGACAAAGATGTGAAAAATGTGGAGTCACAAGGGATGCACATAAATCGTGTACCTTAGATGGTCCCTCTCAAAATTCTAGCTGCCATCAGACAGACATAAGTAAAAGGTGCTAATGAGGGAAAACTGCTGAGCTCCTTAAATTCACAAGAGAGAGACATCAAGATTTTATCTTAACCACTTTCACATCATGGTGTTATGTGAAGCCTTAGTTCTTTCATTTAATCTCACTTTTGTCTTCTCTCAAAAATGTACATAAACTCTACTTAGCCTCAGATTTCCAAAACAGCTTTCCATCTCAGCAGTCTGTCACTAAACTATTTACTGTCTTGCTGGAGTGATCCAGCTATCAATCTCTTTATTATAAATGGTTACTGAATGCCATTATTAACATTTCATGCAAAAGAATACCTGGACTACCCAAATGAAAATCATACAAATGATCAGATACTTGTTAAATTAAATATATATTTTTTGAATTAGTAAAATGGAAATAGCATCAAAAAAATTCTTCTCTAAAAAAAAAAAATCAAGATGCTACATTATCTCTGTTTTAGACTTACTTTATAAGTCTTCCAATACAAAACACAAACAGATTTCAAATCCTTGACCTTAAATCATTTATAAAAAAAAAAACTATCTTTGCATTATAATTCCAATAGGACACTGCTAGCAAGTAAGAGGAGCTGGACAAGTAAAAGGAATCAGAGCAACAACATCTTCCAAGAAGATTATAAGGCAAGCAATTCACAGTCTTTGTACAAAATCCAAGGTACCACAAATATTATTAAAAATGCAAGCCAAGCAGCACTTGACAAGACAGCTTAATAGTTACTGCTTCAGGTGATAATTTCAAAGTATGGTCATAAGCATCTTACTTCTCTGAATATTCTCAATTAAGATGAGAAAAACTGTAATTTTCTTTGATGTTAGAATCTATCATGGTGGAATTTATTTATTTTTCTTTTCAAGTGTCCAAAATATAAATGAAGGCTCACATTTTCTATTTTTAATGCGTGAACAGAAATACTTTAATTTAAATAATTATAGCCATAAGCCATTCAGAGAATCAACTAGGTAATACATACACGTGAATATCTGCTACTATGTGGATAAATAGGCTAAGAAATAGACAAAAAAATTCATTTATTTTGGATTGACTAGTTGAACCAAAACTTCAAATTCTTCCAAGTTTTCTTCCTTTTTAATACAGAGTGGGCATCTTGCTGCCTTCAGCAAAGATTATACTGATGAAGAAGAAACAAAGGGGATGAAAAGAAAGTAACACTCACCAAGAACTTAAGAATGTGGCAGGTATATTCCTAGACATTTTTGCAAATATCATGTTAAGGAAATTATAGCAGTTTAATGAAGGCACAGATAGAAAACACAATACTTTTGGTTCAGTTTTGTTCGATTTCCTATGACCCCATGGTTTAATAAAAGTATTTGCTGTTCCTTGATTACTACAAGCAGTGCGCCTGGGCATTTTGGAAATGTGGTCACTGAATGCAATATGGTGGTGTGCTCTTTTCTTCAAGTCTAGCAACTCCTCAAGGCCCACCCTCTGAGCCCATGCTTTTCTCTATGTTTGCTTCCTCCTTACTCCTATTTCTTTAAGATTAAAGAACTGGTTTTACACAGTCAGCTTGGACTGGCTTGATTTCTTTCCCAGATGCTTGAGGTTGCTCCTTTTCCTGCTGGGCCCTGAAAACTCCAAGTTGTATTGGAATCCTATGCCTGACCAGGCATCGCAAGCCAGCCACAGTCATCAGAACAGGGGCAAACAAAAAGGACTTATTTTCATAAACATCCAAAAGTTAGGGTTACCAACTTTTCCTACCCAAACCAGAACTACCCATAACTCAAGCACTCTATTCTAGTCATTTAATGTCCCGTATAAATATTAGAAAAGGTCTTAAAAGATCTGGCCCTACTATTCATATTAGAAATGAGGAAATTGAAGACTGAACAAAAGGAAAGATTTTCCCAAACTCACAGAGGACAACCCTTTCCATCTGAGCATTCCATCTGCCTGTGTCTACCTCTGTCTTGTTGGCACATCTCTGTCCTTGATGTGTGTATTTGTGTGCAGGATTCCTTGATTCACTGCCATCAATTGCTAGCCAACTCTGTCAAAACAAATTCACATTTTTTTTCAGTATCATCTAGCTGTAAACCTTTCTTCTTTATCTCTTTTCCTTTCTTCTTTCCTTCATTCCTAACATCCTTCCTTGCTTCCTTCCTTCTTTCCTTCCTTTCTCCTTCCCACCCATCTCTTTCTCTCTCTCTATATATATACATACATACACACAGACACACACATATATATAACATATATATATTAATACTCTGAAATACAGATATGAGAATAGAGACATGGTTGCCTTATTCTCTACTGTATCTCAGAGTCTGACACCACAGGGCACAGATTAAAGTACTTGATAATTTTTTTTTAAAGATTTTATCTATTTGACAAAGAGAGCACAAGCAGAGGGAGAGAGAGGGAGAAGCAGGCTCCCTGCTGAGCAAGGAGCCCGATGTGGGACTTGATCCCAGGGCCCCAGGATCATGACCCAGGCTGAAGGCAGCCACTTAACCAACTGAGCCACCCAGGCGTCCCAGTACTTGATAAATATTTTATATGAATGAATATCAAATGTATACACATTCCTCCTTAGTCCAGAGATCTGCTAATTCAAAATATACAATAATTCAAACATGGTAAATAAAGATTCTATGATTTGTCTTTTGTGTTTGTTCACACAAAGACAAATTTTGTTCTGTGTAAATTGTCTGAATTTTATAAATTTTAAAAGGAGAGTTTATAAATTCATGTTTTTTTTTGAAAACTATTCTTCAATAAAAAGCTGTAAGCATTTAAGATATTTTATTTTTATTTTATTTTTATTATTATGTTAATCAGCATACATTACATCATTAGTTTTTGATGTAGTGTTCCATGATTCATTGTGTGTAACACCCAGTGCTCCATTCAGTACGTGCCTGGTGATGGGTATTAAGACATTTTCTTTAGGTCACTAATCCATACAATTATCTGGAGTTCAGTTTTGTGTATTAACCTAAAGAACTAATTTTCATTAACATTACATTTGAACAATTTTAACTTATAGCTTAGTTTAAGTGTTATTTTTGACCATATGTTTAAAAATATTGTTTTCACTTTTTACTCACTAGTCTTCTTCACTATTCGTACAGATTAAAAGCTCAGAATATAGCATATGAGCTGGCAGCACTATACTTTATTTCATATTTCAGTCAAACAATATTTTCTTAGCGATTTTCTTTGGCAGAGTGATATAAAAATATAGCTAAGGATCAATTGCTTTTAGTCTGACATGCCCAAAGCATAATTTTGTAGCAAGACCTTGTTTACCACATAAATGCTTCTTTGAACATAGGGATAACTGCCCATTATCCTTTAATATCACAATATTTTGTATAATGCCTTTTGAAATGCTCCAGAAAGAAATTAATTCCAGGCTTCCCATTATATTTAAAATACTTTTAGATGTCCTTTACTATGA